CATTAAATGCTCAGTAATATTCAGTTTTATCTATTTATTGCTGAAATTTATGCCCAGAAGAATCCTGCCTGATAATGGCTCTACAGTATTCTCACAAATATTACAGGGAGACTGGAAAAACTGATGTAAGTTCTGATAGTGGGGGATATGAGCTGCTTTGGTATGATTTTATCTCTGCGCTTTGTGTTTTTTGGAGAGCTGTTCCTCGCCAGGATGACGTTGTTGTTACGCACAACTCCATGTCATCATAATGCAAGTCCTGCAGAGCCTTCACTTGTGTGTATGACACTTCACACACACACACACACACAAACACTCACATCCGCAGAAGCATGATATGTTTGGCTCTGGGACAGAGCAGAATAAACATTTTCTCCCTACACACACATACACAACCTCTTACACCGACAAACCCATTCACACACACACACACACACACACAGGCTAATCCACTGCAAAACGGTACAACAGCCCTGACACGCTGAGCTCATCAGAAAGGGCATTTGCATTTTGAATCTGAGAGCACAACTGGAATCTTTCGTCGTTTATGACATTACAATAAGCAGCAATTCTATGCACAAACGCTGATTGAATTCTTGGTGCGCGGAATAAGAGAACGAGGCGGATCCTATCAGATCAGAAAGAACAGTCTCTGTGGCTGTGTTTATCCCTGCAGCTTCCAATTTACGATTTTTTTAATAATTGTTTATTTGATAGCACAATCTGACAGTGAACGTATCTGAAAAAAATACATAAAAATGATTATCCGTTGCAGGGATTTATAGAGAGAAAGACAGATGGGTGATAGCTGATGTATATTTGGAGATCAGAGGCCACACAAACACTGAAGGTTTCATCCCGGATGCATGTACTGACCTTTTGACCTTTGACTCAATGATGCACAAATCTTTCCATTCTCTAGTTTTCAAATGGCGTCTAAATAGTTTCTGTAGCCATAGCAACCAGCATTCTATTGTGCCCATTCTCTCTCATTATGTGGTTGCGATCAAACTGTATGTAGTAGAAGTTGTGACATAACAAGCATTTTCAAGCAATTAACAAGATTTTTATATATTCTAACGTTTGAGTGGTTTTGCCTGTACAAATGTTGTAGGTGGTTCCTAAGTCATTCTTATTTGGTTGCTAAGGTGTTTTGGGTGGTTGCCTGCTGACCCAAGTCAAAATGGTCCCCATACAAATCTCTGATATTTTGTATCGACTATTATGGTGAGGTCGCATTTACAGTAGTTTGGTGAATTTTCATGGGCGAAATCCAGTCATCCATGCAATTGGAAATTTTGCATGGGGTTGAAAGATTTTATATTTTTATGGCTCATATAGTATGATATAGTGAGATTATGGAGGAAAAAAATACCTCAATTTTATTCAGAGATCAAAATATATATATATATATGTCTAATAGAAAGATACGTATAAAATGCAATGCTATACAATGATGACTGAGAGATTAATAAATAAATGTTCCTCAAAAAGCCTGATGATCATATTTGATACACTTGAACCTTATTTTTTCTAATAACTGATTAATATATAATCAAAGTTGCTAAGTTCAATTTAGAACTTTATGTCAATCTTTAAATATTACTAACAATATAAAGGTTATTATTATGTGTACTTCATAAAAACCAGTGAAGGTTTCACATGCAAAAAGAAACGTACCATTACTAGAAGGTAAACATTTTTACAATTGTGCTAAAAAGACTTTAATTTGCTAAAAAAAAGTGTAATTTGCCCCTTTATGATGAATCACTTGTTATTCCTCAATTGTAAGTTGCTTTGGATAAAAGTGTCTGCTAAATGAATGAACGTACATGTAGATTGTGTACAACAGGCTTTTCAGCACAGTTTTGATCATGCAGATGACATAGAGGTCTTAGAAATTTGCATATCAAATATATGATACAGTGGCCTTTATAGAGTTAAATCAGTAACCCTAAGTATAAGCAGTAGTTATGATGCTTGATTTAACAAATACCACTAATTACATTTATATGCTCACAGCCAATACTACGCTCAAAGCAATGTTAATCATCATGGAAATATTGCATAACTCAAGCGAGATGGATGGTTTACTGTAATGTACTGTTTAGGGAAGGGTTTACTCGAGGGTCATGACACTCACACGTCCTGTCATTAATGTCAGCTTAACCCTCAAGCATCCTTCGTATAGCAGCCCTTAATTGGTCCTTTTTGGACAAATTTGGGCATGAAGGTCTCATGTGTGATCCCAATTTATTTATTTTTTTTATTTATGCAATTTTTTTAACTCTAAAAGTACCATATTTTTATGTCAAATATGCTTATTTTTATGTTATATTTAATATTTATTTTACTTCAGTATAAAAACATAATTCCAGTAAGTTCAGACAGCCAAAACCTAAAAATGTGGTGACTTTGGTGACATCTGGTGACATATGATGGTATAAAAATGATGCCAAATGCCAAAATGTGCTTACAGACAAATCCATGCTATAAGGAAAAGACAAAGTAGGAGACAGAGTAATCATTTATTTCTAACAAAAAAAAACATCAAATTTCATGTTATGGGCTCATTCAATGCTTTGTTTGAGTGTTTGCCACATTGAGAATGTTGTATAGGCTCCCCCTTCATTTATGTGTATGTATGATCTGCATTGTGTTGGATTTATTTATTCTTATTGGACAAATAAAAAAATTGCTCTGAATTATAGTATTTCCCATAATCCCATTCATTTTCTATGGGTGCCCACTTTTGTCCACGAAGGACAAATTATGGAGTTTTTTTTTTTCAACCACTTAAATTGTTGAATCGAGTCAATTTTGTGTGTGTGTGTGTGTGTGTGTGTGTGTCTATTTTAGTTTTAGTTACAGTTGTAGTAATGTTGTCATTTTATTCGTTTTTTATTATGTCTATATAGGCTTTTTATTAAGTTTTAGTTTTATTTAATTTGAGTTATTTCAGTACTTCAACATACAAAATGGAAATGAAATAATATATATATATTGAATGTATTTATATATATATGTACATGTATATGTATATGTGTGTAGCTGTACATACACATATGTAGTTGTTTTTTGGGGTTTGGCTTAGTGTTATGTTAGAATCATTATTATACTCATACCTTTTGTTCTTTTAATATTTTTGAATTGTTTTTAGCTTTATTTTTTTGTTTTCATTTAAATGTTTAGTTTTGAAATGTTGTTGTATGCATTTGTCATTTTTATTTAATTTATTTTATTTTCTTAAATGTGTGTATATATATAGTATTTATAGAGTTTTAGCTTTTAGTTTTAATTACTTTTTCTTATTTGTAAGTCGCTTTGGATAAAAGCTCTGCTAAATGACTAAAAGTAAAAGTAAAAGTAAAATTAAAGTAAGTGTGTGTGTGTGTGTGTGTGTTCAGGTGGCAAACTTGGGAAAACTAGCCAAGTTTTGTACCGCTCAGAATAAGGAAACTATTTTAAAAAATGATATTGCCCACATTTGTCATGAAGGATGCTTGAGAGTGAATGTGCTTGTTTGTGTGTCATGACAAGTTCTCAACCTGTCAGCGTAATGAAGTCACAACTGTAGTGTACTAACTAAACAAACACTTCATTCATGGAATGAACATACCGTTCTCATAAATTAGTACGTTTCTCATGTTTGCGTAACGAACAGTTTTGTTTAACAGTGAAGGAAGCACTACTTCTTGTTTCACTAATTCCGTTAAAACTTGCAAATACTAATTAGCACATGCTTGAGGCAACATAACCATGAAAGCGGTGTGCAGGAAAGCAAGGTGGCGTAAATCTCTTGATTTCCTCAAGCTGTCGCTCTTCCTGTCTGTTACGGCCCTCTAAGCTTCTGTCATATTAAATGCACCTGTGGTCTCATCTTCTTCACCTTGCAGCCTGACACAGGTGTTAGAATAAACACGGTTTTAATTTGATTCAGTCTCATATGCTGAATAAAGTGCTTTGTGAGGGACGTCACAGACAGTTTGGCTTCCAAACTCAGAACTTTTAGACTGGAAGGTTAAAACATTTAACACAAAGAAATCAATGTGATAAAATGATTTTTTTAAACATCCCCTTGAAACCACGGATGGAGTGTAATTTCACTTGCTTGTACTGCCCTCTGCTGCCCAAATTCAAACTCTCATTTATGTGTACCTCAGTCAATGAGCTTCAATATACGGGTGCATCTCAATAAATTAGAATGTTGTGGAAAAGTTCATTTATTTCAGTAATTCAACTCAAATTGTGAAACTCGTGTATTAAATAAATTCAATGCACACAGACTGAAGTAGTTTAAGTCTTTGGTTCTTTTAATTGTGATGATTTCAGTCTGTGTACATTGAATTTATTTAATACACGAGTTTCACAATTTGAGTTGAATTACTGAAATAAATTAACTTTTCCACGACATTCTAATTTATTGAGATGCACCTGTAAACTAAATAAGGGCCAATTTAAAGGGGTCACGTTAAAAATTTGAACAATTGTGTATATTTTATTTTTGAGGACGTCACACCTCCATTATGTAGGTTTAAGGCTAATATTCTTTAACATTTTGAAAAAGATCTTTATAAATTATGTTAATGTGTTTTTTTGTACACACAGTGCCTGCAAAAATACATGAACCCAAATATGCGCATAGTTTCTAAACATTGAAAACATATTAAACATACGTTAAATGTAAATGAATGAATTAATAACAGCCTACGTCTTTATATTTTATGTAACAGGTTGTCACTTCGGCCAAACGAACGTCAATCATGCATTAACTGAGTTCTACGCCGGGGGCGCCGAGGGGTTGTGGCTAGAAGGATACAGCAAAAACCGGAAGCTAAAAATAAATGGAATTTTCTACCTATTAGATTGTGTTTTATTAACGTCTACACCTACCCCAACCCTAAACCTACCCCGTACAATAATGCAAAAATAGTAATTGTTGTTGTACAGTGTGAGAAAAATTACGCTATATTGATGTGGGCATGTCCAGTAGTTTTTGCTGTACGCCGCCAGCCGCGCCATAGAAAAACCGGAAGTGATGCAGGAGTAAGTATGACATCACAAAGTGAAAGTATGGCAGCGTCCGTAGCAGTGGGATTAAACTTCAGCACGTTGGCTGCCTGTAACGCACTTTACGATCACACAAACTTCTACACGAATATGTGTCCAGTGCACGGTGGTCATATGATGTTTATCTTTGATTTGCAGATTGACGCGCGCGCAGGGAATCTGGGAACGCGCAGGGAAAACGGGAGATTTAAATCGGTGAGGGAAATGTGGCGTAAAACTCAAATGTGCCTTAATACAAAACATAGCTTCTCTATTGTATAATATATTCTTACTACATCTTATATTATATCAAATTAGTTGAGACCTTTAGTTGATTGCTATGCTCAGATTATTGTTATTTTAATGCTATGGTTTCAGTTTCAGCATTTTTTGCATATTCACGAAATCCTTCACTGGTTGGTTGGTCTAGTTAGGAGTTTTCAAACCTTTTGATGCGAGGAACTCCCAAAAATAATAATAAGCTCGCTAGGAACTCACTTCCTAAAATATATATTTTAAGCTATGTATTTATATGTATAAAAACCTATTATTAAGGACTCATTTTTCTCAGATAAATAAACAAGACACAAATAAGATAATCGCTGACATGCAGTAAGAGATTTAATTTAATTGGCGAAAACTTTTGTGTCATTTTATTATTATTATTTAAAATACATTGAAGTATCTTTAACTCTTTTAGTTCTTCAGATTTAAGTCTTTTTTTTTCTTCCTATGTTTAGGTAGAGCCTCCTCGGCAATGGCTGCAGAAGGAAACCCAGATCCTGAATCCAGAGATCAGGGTTTGGAAGCAGAGCTTGTGTCTTTGAGATCACAAGCTGAGGCGCTGCGACAGGAGCTGAAGACATGTAAGGATGAACTTCAGAACTTACAGAAACAGCTCAGCCAAAGCGAACGACTCCAGAAGACGACAGAAAGCTACAACCAAGATCTCAGGCAGCAGGTGAGCCATGTGCTCGTGGAGAACAAGGAGCATTTTGAGGCAACAAAGATGTCAACACAAGAAGATTGTTGGTAACATTGTGTTTGTGTTGCTTTAGGTTGATAAACTGAGTGCAGAAATCCATGAGCGAAAGAAGAGAGAGAGGGAGAAAGCAGATGCTGAGACTCAGACGGAGGAGTATACATGGACGGAGACAGGTTGGGCTTTTTTCTTTTTTTTATGTTAATGTTCCAGTAGTCTGCAGCACTGATGTTTTATTTAAATGTTATTTTCTTCCTGAAACAGATTATTATAATTATTACTATGGCGGATACTACCAGTCAGGAACGGAGACCACAGCAGAAGCACAGGAGAATGTTGTCATGGAAACTCAAGGATATTGTGAACACACTGAGGAGCATCATGTGCCAGCTGAGACGGCACCAGCCAATCCTGAGCTACCAAACGAAACAAGTGATCTTCCACAAACAGAGGTATGAGAAGTGTTAGTTACTTAAGTGTTATTAATTTCTGATAACAGTTCTAGGCATTTATTAATGTTGGTATTGACATAGTTTGCATGTGTTGCATGTTGAGTTGAAATACTACCAAATGTCTAAAATATAGCCAATATAGTGTAAAATCTGGTCTAAACAATCTGCATAATGGCGAAAATAATATAACAAATCATAAAAAAATTACAGTAATGCCAGAATGTAGCCAAAATAATCAGGCAAATTGCTAAAACAGTAAATAAAAGCTAAATAAAACCAAAATAGAATAAAATAGAAGTAACAATAATGTAAAATATTGCCAAAAACCCGAATTACTGTAAAAACAATCCAAGTATAGTCAGAACAATCTGTTAATACAATACATAAATAAATGATAAAACATATTACAAAGAAATTAAAATATGGCCCAAAATAGCCAAAATCATTACAACTTAAAATTAAAAAAAATCTCAGGCAGTCTAAATTAAGGCCAAATTAATATCCAAATGGCTAAAATATGGACAATATCAACCAAAAAATGTCTAAAAATATGGACAACATAATCCTAAAAATAGCCAAAACAATATCTATTTTGGCAAAAATGTAGCAAAGAAAGAAAGAAATATAATCTTACATATATCATATCATATCACTTAAAATCTACAATATAGCCAAAGTAATCCAACATATAGACTAACATCATTAAAAAACAATTTAAATTTACTAAAAATTTAGTCCAACTAATTTTATAGCCACATAATCATAATATGGCCACAATAACCCAGCATATACCCAAAATAGTCTAACGTATGATCAGAACAATCCAACATATCACCAAAACAATATAAAATCCAACCAAAATGATCAAACATTACATTTACATTACATTACATTTAGTCATTTAGCAGACACTTTTATCCAAAGCGACTTACAAATGAGGACAATGGAAGCAATCAAAACTAACAAAAGAGCAACAATATGTAAGTGCAAATGACAAGTCTTGGTTAGCCTAACGCAGTACACGTAGCAAGGTATTTATATATATATACATTCAGCTTAAACAAATACGAGCAGTTTACGGCCAGTAATAAAAATAATTATCATTTAAAGTAATAATTATGAGCCAGTTTCTCGACTGTGTAAACATGTTCTCAGGAGGCCTCTGGAGAAGGCGGCTCTATAGCCGACATGCTGAGAACAACAGCAGAGGAAGCATTGAACCAGACCAACTTTGTGTTTGATGAAAGTTCCGGCATGTACTACGACCACAGCACTGGATTTTACTACGACTCTGTAAGTTGTTCTTCTGTCGGGACGTTTGACTGCTGCTATTTGTGTAATCGGCATGTGTAATCTTAATCGCCTGTGTTAATGTGTTTTTTCCTCTTCCCCCAGTCCAGTCAGCTGTACTATGATGCTAACACAGGCATGTACTATTACTTCGACCCAGAGAGCGGAAAATACCAATTCCACTCTAGGATAGAGGTGCCTACAGCACATCCCGAAGTGGAGCAGACGCCACAGAGGAAGACCAAAGATTGGAAAAACAGGAAGTCGGTGAAGAACACCGATAGAGCTTCCTGTCCCGACGGAGGGGTGAGATGCACACGGACACACATTGTCTTTGCATAGTTTTGTAATCATAGATATTTGTGTTTGTTGGTTGACACTCGGTCTTCCTCAACTTGATTTCCCATTTGAAGTTTCGTTTGTAAACCACTTTAATTTCAGTTTTTCAATTTTACCACCATCTTGAGTCTTAGTTTTCAGTTTGTTTGTTTTTTGTTTTTTTTTTCAATTCAAAAACCTCTTTCTGGCTTCTGGTTCTTGCTCTTGTTGAATTGAGTTTGTGTTCGTGAGGGTCTGTAGAATAATCCAGGGTCTCAGAAAGGGGTCCGTCATTATGGGAAATTTGATGCCTGGTGGAGCTGACCGTGTGCTCTTCCTTTCGCTGTAGGTTCAGGATTTGACTTGCTCATTGGCTCAGTTGAAGATAGACCATTTGAGGCAGGTTGGAGTGAGAGGTACGGTCTTTAATAGCTATAAAGTTACACAGAGTTTTAGTATTTTTCCCCCAAATGGTCGTAACAAGTCATTCAGTGAAATTTTTTTTGTTTGTTTTTTAATTTTGATGTTTTTATTCACTACTAAATATAATACTGTTCAGGGTCAGTACATTTGTTTTCTTAAAATAAATAAATACTTGTATTCAGTAAGAATACATTACATTGATTAAAAGTGACAGTAAAGACATTTATAATGTTTAAAAAACTATATTTCAAATAAATGCTTTTGAATTTTTTATTCATCATTGAATTAAATTTTATATTCATCAAAAAGTCTGAAAAAAATGTCAGTTTCCACAAAAATGTTAAGCAGCACAACTGTTTGCAACATTGATAATAATATAAATATTTCTTGAGCATCAAATCGGCATATTAAAATGTGAGCGGTGAGAGCGAGCCGGAGGAGGGTGAGATCACAGAATCAGATGGAGAGAAAGAACTTTCTTCAGCGTCATCTTCATCCTCGTCTGCATCTCCTGTCCAAGCAGAACATGACAGTCCTGAGAGAGAAATGGAAACGCAGATGCTGGAAGGTGAGGAGGGGAGTGAACATTGCGCCCCCTGGTGGCTGTTTGGTATAGTTTAAAAATACAATGTTATTTTTGAATGCGCATCAGGTAAACATGCCATATTTTGCACTACTGTAGCATTTTATTTTTGTCTATCTGTAATGTGTGTGATTTGTATATTTCAGAAGCCTGGCCACCGTGTGTTCGGGTAACTGTGGTTCGCTCTCCTGTGTTGCAGACGGGAACGCTTTTCATCCTCACGGCTGATACAGTCGCCACCATCGGCCGGTCGGTACAGTTCTGTGTGTAGTTCTGTTCATCCATTGCATTGACGAGTTAAAATGTTTGTGTGTATCTGTTTGTAGAGAGAAAGACATGAATCATGCCATCAGAATCCCCGAGATGGGAGTCAGTAAGGTAAAACAAACTCAAATCAAACTAAAAACACACATTCTTGGTCAAAAGCATTTTTAGTATGACATTAAACGGTCTAAAGTGCTGAGATTGATGCATTTTGTATAGTCAGATGTCTTGATATGCATTAAAGGGTTAGTTCACCCAAAAATGAAAATAAGCCCATAGATTACTTACCCTCAAGTCATCCTAGGTGTATATGAAAAAAAAAGTGTCTCACACGGCTCCGGGGGGTGAACAAAGGCCTCCTGTAGCGAATCGATGCACGTAATAATCACTTTAATGTAGCTTGCGGTCACTGTTGTAAAGGAAAGCAGTTCCGGGCGGATGACCTCTGAGGTCAGTGCTGCGCATGTGCCAGTGAGTCTCGTGAAAACCAACGTTTGTCAACAGGAGCAAAGGAAGCAAAGTTTCCTTACTTTAGCAAAGGAAAACCAGTCTCCTCTTGGCTTATATCGAAATCCTCTGACATTCTTCTTTACAAATCCTCATTTTGTACTTCTAATTAGTGACCGTTGTTTTGTTTTGATCTCTCCGCTGCATTTCCGCGTGCCGCGTTCTGAGCAGCGCATGCGCAAAGCCGACCTCTATTTGTCATCCGCCCGGAACTGCTTCCCGTTACAACAGTGAGCGCAAGCTACATTAAAGTGATTATTACGTTTTGAATATGGATATTTTTCTTACAAAAACGCATCGATTCGTTACAGAAGGCCTTTGTTCACCCCCCGGAGCCGTGTGAGATACTTTTTTTTTTTTATGGATGGGCGCTTTTTATTTAACTTCTTTTGGACTGATGCATGCAACACCCACTGAGTGCCATGAAACAGCTTGAAAGATCAAAGACAATTTTTTATATAACTTCGACTGGATTCGTCTGAAAGAAGAAAGTCACATACACCTAGGATGCCTTGAGGGTGAGTAATTTATGGACTAATTTTCGTTTTTGGGTGAACTAACCCTTTAAATAATGATCGTACACTGAAGTATACTCTAAATCACTTGTTTGTTTGTTTTTTAAAAGTATCTTAAAACAATTTGCGATGCATTTTACTTGACAAACTAGGATTCAAAAGTTTAGGTTCGCTAAAATTTGTAAATTTTTTTTGTTGCAAAAAGTCTCTTTTGCTCACCAAGGCTGCAGTTATTTGATCAAAAATACAGTAAAAAATTATATTATGAAATATTATTACAATTTAATATAACTATTTTGTATTTGAATATATTTTAAAATGTGATTTATTTCTGTGATGCAAAGCTGAATTTTCAGCATCATTACTCCAGTCTTCAGTGTCACATGATCCTTCAGAAAACTTTCTAATACGCTGATTTGCTGCTCAATACATTTTTTTTTTTTTATTGTCCATGTAATATTTTTGTGGAAACCATGATTACTTTTTTCTTTTTTTTAATTCAATTTTCAGGTATTTTTTCAGGATGTTTTTAATAGAAAGTAAAAAACAACAATTTATTTGAAATAGAAACATTATAAATGTATTTACTGTCATTTTTAATCAATTGAATGCATCCTTGCTGAATAAAAGTATACATTTCTTTAAAAAAAATCTTACTGACCCCAAACTTTTCTAAAGGACATAGAATTATAGTAACACCAGGAACATGTTTTAAAACAGTAAACAGAATTAACATTTTGACAGTGTTTTCACTCTGTTGATGTTTTTCTCTCTATCTCTGTTTGTAGTCCCATGCAGAAGTTTATTTTGACCAGGAGCAGCAGTGTTATATGCTGATAGATCAAGGAAGTCAGAATGGCACCGTCCTCAACGGAAACCGAATACTGCAGGTAACAAACACAGCTGTTCTGTCCCAACAGCCTTTAACACGTATCTCAATATGAGAATTTAAACATGTTTTCTGCAGCCCAAAGTTCGCTGTGACCCTTGCCCTCTGACCCACGGAGATGAAGTAAAGATGGGAGAAACTGTTTTGTCTTTCCACATTCACATGGGAACAGACACATGTGACGGCTGTGAACCAGGACAGATCATCGCACACCTGAGCCGCCATAAGAAAGACGACACCTCCGGTATATATAAGCGCACATGATTCTGCTCACAGTTATTATTGTCAAATGCTTTAGTGTGAATCAATTGCTGTTCACATTTTTTACGACATGCATACTTATGTATGTTTCAGGAACTGTTCTCAGTAAAGAGGACAAGGAAGTTCAACGACAGAAAGAACTGAAGATGATGAAGGTTAAATATGGTCTTAAAGTAAGTTTGTATGTCCTTTACAAGCTCTCTTGTTGGCAAGTCGGGCATGTTTATGTGGGCTTTGTAATGGTGTGCGCTCAGTGCTGCCCTCTTATGGTCAGCATGTAGAGACAGTCACTCTATTCCTAGGTGTTGCAAGCTACAACAGGTACAATATTTAACCTTTAACACGATGCTACTGTTATCATTCTAAGGCAAGCATCACTGTTATTATTGTGCATACTTTGTCCTAAGGTTTGTTCTAAATTATTAAGTATTAAACTTTGCTGCAACATTTGTACTACGCAATGGTTTTGAACCTTTGATGTTATGAAAAGACTTGAAGGCAACCAGTGTTATTTTAGTATCATTGATTCTATTATAGTTTTTGTTAGTATTTAAAATTATTTTATTTATTTTTTATATTTTATGTTTTTTTAATTTTAATTTTAAAGTTTTTGTAATTTTGTTGTTGTCTTGTTTTTTTTATTGATTTGATTTTTCTTTTTTTTAAATGTCTATGTAGTTTTTGTTAAGTTTTAGTTTGTTATTTTAGTATTTCAGCTTGAACAAAAATGATAAATGTTGCATTGGCAACTCGATTTTTTTACGGTTTTAGTTAACAATAATAACCATGTATTTTTTTTTTTTTTATTATATTTAATTTCTTTCTTTTGTTATTTTTTACGTTTAAATTTATATTAGGACCATGATGATTATTAAACCTAAAACCATGAAAAAAATTATTACTTAAAATAAAATAAACATTCAATGAAATAAAAATTTTATTTTCATTTAGTTTAAGTACTAAAAGAACTAAAACTAAATAAACTGAAATGTAATACAAACTTTATAGACATAGAAAAACTAATAAAAAACTAAACAAAAAAAAATTACTAAAATGTAAAATTAAAAACAAAAATAGAAAGTACATAAAAGATTCTAATTCTTACCAAAATCTATAATAGTATATCAATTATACTAAAATAACTCTTATTAGAGTAAGATGATTCTAATATACAGTATCAATGATAATTTAATGATTTAAATATTTTAAGTCATCCTGTGACCCCCTTGGGACCTCTAGCAACCATCCAGAACACCCTTGCCTTATAGACAGTTCTTAAGTGTTTTTGTTGTACTGTGCTATTGCTGAAAAGTTATTAATGTATTATATATTTCATTGGCATAATTCAGAAAATGTACTTGATTTTGTTGTGTTAATGTTTGTATTTTCAGCACCGCTGGATGTGACTTGAAACTCTTGACAATGCTTGTTTAACAAATACTTTAATACAGTGTGTGTGTGTGTGTGTGTGTGTGTTTCAGAGCAGTGATTATGAGGAGCAGAAAGCCCTGAAAAAGAGCAGGTATAAAGATAGAGCAGAAAACCGCCGGCAGACAGTCGGCAGCGAGGCAACGTTCCAGAGAGATGATGCTCCTGCTTCTGTTCATGTGTATGTAACCTATTCAGTCAAACATTTATCCCTTTAAAACAGATCTGCACTACAGTAGACATCTTGCGTAACGATATGAAGTCTCCTCAAAGTTAAAGATGTTTTTGCAGACTTGTGCTTTTCTCACTGTGTGTGTGTGTAGTGAAATCGGAGATGAGAATAAGGGTAGACAGATGCTGGAGAAGATGGGCTGGAAACGAGGAGAAGGGCTCGGCAAGGACGGAGCTGGAATGAAGGATCCGGTAATACTGATTTCTCCATGTTTTGTTTACGCAGTGTCATGTATGCTAGTGTGTAAGTTTACACTCACTTCCCTTTGTGTGTGCATCGTAGATTCAGCTGCATGTGCGCAAGGCTCAGTCCGGTCTCGGTTCTGGAGCTGCCGTGTCGATAGAAGACGCTTCGCTCACTAAAACCAAAACCCAGCGGAACTGGGAACGTGCGCGGGAACGGTTCTCTGACGCCTGCCAGGCTGACTCCGCCCATCCTGAAACCAGCCAATCACCTAAAGCCTGGGTCAAAAGTGAGGGCACAGAGTGACTTCTTTGACTCTGATGCCAGACATGGCCATTATTTGGCTACCTTTTCTAGTAATTTCAGTGGAAGACCTTTTTCTTATGAGGTTTGTAAATAGATGCAAGTTTGTTTTAAAGATTGCTGGTCAGAGAGTTTTTTTTTTTTTTGTTCTGTTTACAGTGAGATTCAGAAACCAGAATATCTTTGACAAATAAACAATAAAAAAACAGTACATGCATTCCAATTTATACATTTATATTTGTTTTGCATCATAAAATTAAATGAGTAGTTCTGTCTGTTTTACTGCGCAAGAATGCATGCAAAATGTTCCAATCATAAAGTATCTGTAAAGCCACGATTTGAGAATAATTTTGCAGCATTTTACATGAGGGCTGCAGTTAAACCTGTCCAATCAGAAAGTAACTTATTTAACTCCCTAATCTTCAGTCTTAAGTCAGTCTTTTCTTACTGCCATTTGTCCATAGGCAACAAATAATTTATGTGTCCACACACAAAGCTGTTATGACCAGTTTATAACCTAACCACTTAAACATGATTATTATTTACCTCTTGCATGCATAAACACTTATTATTGTTTATCCTTATTGTATCAACCTCATGTCTGGGTCACGTCACCTCAAAATCAAAAGAAAAAAATTGCTGAAGGATATTTTTAGAACCATTTAGGACCAGTTTGTTATTAGTTTTAGATGAGTTTTATTACACCACTTTCCCCAAATTCTCATGATCATAATGTGCCTTGTTTTACGTTTGACTTTCTTTGTAGTTCTCATTATTTTCAGCAGATTTTCTCACAGGATCATCCTGCTCAAACACAATGTTTATAATAATATTATGATTTATAATATTTATTATTTGTAGTATATTTACAGTGAGATTCAGAAACAGAATATCTTTGACAAATAAACAATAAAAAAACAGTACATGCATTCCAATTTATACATTTATATTTGTTTTGCATCATAAAATTAAATGAGTAGTTCTGTCTGTTTTACTGCGCAAGAATGCATGCAAAATGTTCCAATCATAAAGTATCTGTAAAGCCACGATTTGAGAATAATTTTGCAGCATTTTACATGAGGGCTGCAGTTAAACCTGTCCAATCAGAAAGTAACTTATTTAACTCCCTAATCTTCAGTCTTAAGTCAGTCTTTTCTTACTGCCATTTGTCCATAGGCAACAAATAATTTATGTGTCCACACACAAAGCTGTTATGACCAGTTTATAACCTAACCACTTAAACATGATTATTATTTACCTCTTGCGTGCATAAACACTTATTATTGTTTATCCTTATTGTATCAACCTCATGTCTGGGTCACGTCACCTCAAAATCAAAAGAAAAAAATTGCTGAAGGATATTTTTAGAACCATTTAGGACCAGTTTGTTATTAGTTTTAGATGAGTTTTATTACACCACTTTCCCCAAATTCTCATGATCATAATGTGCCTTGTTTTACGTTTGACTTTCTTTGTAGTTCTCATTATTTTCAGCAGATTTTCTCACAGGATCATCCTGCTCAAACACAATGTTTATAATAATATTATGATTTATAATATTTATTATTTGTAGTATAAGAAACATTAGGTTTATTACAATTAGAATTATTAGCATTCCCATTACTGTAGTGCAAAAATGTTTTTTTTAATTATGCAGCATTTGTATTATATAATAATTTACATTATACAATATATATTTATAAAATATGGTAATTATTTTCAGTGGTGTTTCACATCAGATGATCCTGTTCAGACACTAATTATAATTATTAGTGTATAATGAGAATGTAATAACTCGTATAGTAGTCAGTAATTGACAAAAGTAATAGGTAATCTTTATGCAAATTTTTTTTATTATTATTATTATTTTGAGGTGAAATTTTAATCTGACACGAGATCGGCGGCGCTAGGACCGCGCACTTGTCCGTTCAGATCGTGTGGGTGAAAAAGTTCAGAGAAACGTCGCCTACCTAAAACCTCAAAAAGTTCCCAGGCAGCATTGTCTATCGGTGCGATCTGGTGGAGAGAATGCTGACACAATGTGCTTTCCGCGAGGTGTAACTCTAAATAGGTGGGATTTCATGTAACCGAACCTCTGAGGGCAGTTTGGACCGGGGCGGACAGAGATGAGCGCGAGCACACAGCTGCTGTCCAACGGACCGCGGAGAGAGGTGAGATTCACTCTGAACGACTCAAAAGCTTCGGATCCCACGGTTAAAGGTTTCTTATAAAACACGTTTTTTAAAATTATTTTTATCGAGCCATTGAATGTTGCTTCAGAGTTTGACGTTATACGATTAACTAGATTAAGTTTAACCAATGTGGCCGTTTTGAAAGGAAAACAAGGAGTAATGCGACTCCGTGTTCTGTTCATTCTACGTGCGAAACAATCAGTTTATAAGAAGTTTAAATTGTTACATAATAGATTTGACCTGTTCTGCTTGGGGTTGAAAACCTCAGGTCCTCCGTTAGTCAGCGCTCCTCATGACAGCGTTTAGTTCGTGCACATTAGTATGGGAGAGTGGGGTAAGTTGTCCTTTAGGCAAAAAGAAATAAGATCGAAGTAATACAACCAAGCGTGTTTAAGCATATGCGTTACTGGAATAAACACAGTAAAATATGACTTGACTTGAGAAGAAAGTATAGGTATAAGTGTATAGGGCCCTAGAAATATAACTTCAGTGAACCTGTCCACTGTTTGGCTTAAATTGAGTCATTGGGGAATACGTGAGAAATTAGCATTTTAAAATGTAAATCTGAATATGTTATAAACACATTTACCTGCGATGTAGAAACTAAAAAAAAAAAAAAAAAGCATGAAAAGTTTCATGTAGGCTATGTTACTTAAAGCATATATAATTGCCACTTTTCTATACATTGTTGTAGCCTACACAGTTTCCTCGATTAAGGGGTGACTCATCTTACCCCACTCTCCCCATTAGTGTATTTGCAGATTAATAATGGCTTAATGATGAACTCCAATCTTTATGCACCATTTGTTCTTTAAAGTAGTTGGTTTTGTTCTGTGCTTCCATTTTGTAGGGGTTTTTTTGCGACATTGCTGCCAAGATTAGTAATTGAGGCATTTGTTTTATTTTTATTTTTTGGTCTGAACTAATGTTACACTGTGACTCAGAGAATTCCCGTTCATCTTAAAGGGGTCATGAACTGAGAAATCAAAATTCCCTCCATCTTTTGAATAGGTCATTGTACTATAAAAACATCCTGTACGTTTCAGAACTCAAAACTTTCTCATTAATCTAAAAGCATCTTATATTGAAGTCAATCTGCCGAAACGACAGCTTGTGGGATGCGCCGCTCTATGACATAATAGTGTGGCTAAACACCGCCTCCACAGAAGAAGATCAACGCCTACTTCTACATCACTGCCTCATGTAGTGTAAATAACAAGAGAGGCAAACGCAGGTCTACACAGAAACCAAACGATAAAGATGCTCTGAAGACAACAAGACGCTGTGCAGTGCCAAGTTGTGGAGTCCTTGCATCGCCTTCCTTCTGATCCCAACATTAGGAAAGTTTATTTTTAATGAAGATCCAGACCGCGTCAGTAAGAACTCGGTCCTTTGTTCACTTCATTTCACCACAGATTTGTTTACAAACAAGGCACAATTCAACGCAGGATTTTCAGAAAGATAGAAACTAAAAGACAATTCTGTGGCGACTATAGGATCCGACAGTAATGTTGCACCACACAAGTGTAACTACTGAGTATTTATGCGTTTTTAATCTAAATCACTGCAGCGCCCATCTATGAAGGCTGTAGGCTGTCAAACATACACATCTGTAAGCCAATCATAGCAGTGGGTGTTGTAATGAGTCTACAATCCACCCCGCCTATTCAAACAGCGTTCTGATGAGGGGGGTCAAAACCGGACAGAAAAAACAGCCTATTTCTACTAAATTATATTTTTTATATATAAAAATTGATAACATTATAAGTGGACAAAATAATGAAAAAGGCAGTTCATGAGCCCTTTAAGTGTCAGAAGATTGCTGTCATTCACCTGGATGGTATTGCAGTTATCCAGCAGAGGGCGGTCATGGGTGGGCTTGTGTATACAGAGCAACAGGTCAGGTCAACAGTTAGTGTAACATGCTGGGCAGACTAAATCATCTGCAATGAGTGCAAGCGGAAGTTTTATTCCTTTGATGAAGATGGGATGTTGTAATGTAGAGGAATGTTGAACTCTACTTGCTGTTGGAGTGATTAGGTGTTTCGTTTAAAGCAAAGATTACAACAAATAACTCGATCAAGACGCTTCCGAGGGCCTAAAGTAAAATGTTCTCAGCTACAAGCTTAAAATCTTATAAGTTATTCCAAAGAATAATTTTCACTTCTAATCTAATTCACATTTTGTAATTGTAGTACTTTGTGATTTCCATTAAGAGAGGCTGGTTAAAGAATACTTAACAGTCACATTGAGATGTCATATTGAGATAAATACTATATATATTTATCCACTGTCTGTTTTCTTTACTGCCTTTGTATCTTTGATTTATACCGGGGTACTGGAGGATTACTACCGTATATTTATATAACACAGCATTTACATGGTCAGGTTAACTTTATTGAATATTACAGTATGTACCATGGTATTTTGTCCAGAAAACATAATACCATTATACTGACAGGGCATCAGTTGCACTTTTTTTAACAACTGGTACTTTGTTATATAAGCAGAAGACTACGAAGCTTATTTTTTTTATCGCACAATTCAGTTTTTTTCTCTCACAATTCTGGGTTTTTATGTCTCACAATTCTGACTTTTTTTCGAAGAACTGCAAAATATAAACTCACAATTGTAATTATGAGATAAAAAGTTGAAATTAAGCGGAAATAGGCTTCCACAGAAGACAGACATACAGTTGTTTTATTTTTAAATGACAATAACATATAGTGTTTTTAATAAGCACAGCAAAATTATAAAAGTGATCAGCATAAGTTTTCATTATTTTGGAAAACAGCAGCTTTGACATTTTTAAAAATAACATGAGGGTGGATAGATTTTTCAGTTTAAGTGGATGATCTGTGATCTGATCTGTGGGAGGTGTGACTGACTAAAATGATTATTGATCTACAATAATTGACATAAAATACTTAATTTTCAAAATTGCATTTTAAATCTTATTAACTCAAAAATTGCACATGCGCCATATTTGGGTATGATAAATATATACTGCAAAAATTCAAATCATAGTGAAGCACATTCCCCATGAATAAAATTTCCCGCTGATTATGTAAATGTTTAACCACTGTGTATTTAGTGTATCAGAATAGTACATCTGAGATATTATTGGCATTTCCAGGATATACAATGTCAAACAGACCTACAATGCATTATGACTATTGAACATTTTGCCTACGCATGTACTGTATGGCACATGTGCAGAATGACTTGCAATAGTGACGAAGTTAGGCCAGAAACATTTTTCTCACCCATGCAAGAACCTGTTAAGTAAACTCCAGCATAATAAAAGGTCAGTATAGTCCTATATAATCATATCTGGGCTTATCAGTCATTTACAGATGTTTGGAACACTTTACAGCTTGGACCTGTAATATGCAAACATTTGGAAACCCAGATGTACGATCACTAATCCTGGAGTCTTGCACTGTACATTTATATGCATTTGGCTGATGCTTTAAATGACTTATTGCATTAATATTTTATCGGTTCATGCACTCCCTGGGAATTCAACCCCATGCTCTACTGTTTAACCTGCAGAAACACTTAAAACGTCAAGCATTTTTGATGCATCAAGGTGAAGGTCAATTGAATGGCCTTGTTTCATTTTATCAGTTCATAAACATGCCCACTTGGTTCATTAACAGCCGTTAGTTCCTCTAGCATCACTGACAGCTGTCAGGATGTAACACATTGTCTTTTTATTTTTAAGTGAATTATA